AGCCTGTGGCCATTTAACAGATAACAGATAATCAGAGTTGGAAGGGACCTTGAAGGTCATCTAGTCTAACCCCCCGCCCAAGTGGGAGACCCTACACCATTTCTGACAAATGGCAGTCCAATCTCTTTTTGAAAGTCTCAAGTGATGGTGCTCCCATAACTTCCTGGGGGCAAGCTGTTCCATTGGTTGATGGTTCTCACTGTCAGAAAGTTTCTCCTTATTTCCAGGTTAAATCTCTCCTTGTTCAGTTTCCATCCATTATTCCTTTTCTGGCCTACAGGTGCTTTAGAAAATAGCTTGACCCCTTCCTCTCTGTGGCAGCCCCTCAAATATTGGAAGGCTTCTATCATGTCTCCCCTGGTCCTTCTCTTTACTAGACTAGCCAAGCCCAGTTCCTGCAACCGTTCGTTGTATGTTTTAGCCTCCAGTCTCCTAATCATCCTGGTTGCTCTTCTCTGTACTTTTTCTAGAATCTCAACATCGTTTTTATAATGTGGTGAGCAAAACTGGATGCAGTACTCTAGGTGTGGTCTTACTAAGGCTTAATAGAGTGGTATTAGTACTTCCCTTGATCTTAACTGTATCCCTCTGTTAATACAATTTAGGATTGAATTAGCTTTTTTGGCTGCTGCTGCACACTGCTGGCTCATATTTATCTGGTTGTCCACTAAGACTTCAAGATCCGTCTCACAGTTACTGCTATTGAGCTTGGTTTCACCCAGTCTATATGTGTACTTTTGGGTTTTTTTGCCTAAGTGTAGGACTTTACTTTTCTTTATATTGAATTTCATTTTATTAGATACGGCCCAATGTTCTAGTCTGTCAAGATCCATCTGGATCTTGAGCCTGCCTTCCTGGGTGTTAGCTATTCCTGCCAGCTTAGTATCATCTGCAAATTTGGTAAGTTCCCCTTCTATTCCCTCATCTAAGTCGTTAATGAAGATATTGAAGAGTACTGGGCCTAAGATGGAACCTTCCCGGGTATTGATGTTACGCTGATTGGTCTATAGTTTCCTGGGTCTGTTTTTTTTTCCTTTTTTGAAGATGGGAACCACATCAGCTCTTTTCCAGTCCTCTGGTATTTCCCCGGTGCTCCAGGATTTTTGAAAGATATGGTGCAGTGGTTCTCTGCCAGCTCCTTTAAAACTCCGGGATGTAATCCATCAGGCCCCGGTGATTTGTTTTCTTCAAGATCAGACAGGTATTCTCTTACTATTTTTTTGCTTATTTTAAGTTTTATTTCTGGTCTGTCTTTTACAGTTATGTTTTTGGTGGGCTGAGCTATAGTTTCTTTTTGCGTGAAGATGGATGCAAATAATGAGTTCTGCTTTCTCTCTGTTGCCTGTTACTTCCTTACCATCTTCTCTCTTTAGTGGACTGACTGTTTCCTTGATTTTTTCTTGTTATTTATATGTTGGAAGAAACTTTTTTTTTTTTATTATCTTTAACTTGCAAGTCTTTGTTCATTCTGAGCCTTTGCTATCCTGACTTTGACTTTGCAGATTCTGGCTATCTGCTGATATTCTGCCTTAGTTGTATGTCCTTCTTTCCATTTTTTCTTTCAATTTGCCAGAGAGATCTTTGTGCAGCCATGCTGGTTTCTTCTTGGATTTCTTGTTTTTCTTTCTCAGTGGTATTGTTAGGATTACTTGTTTTCCCATCTGCTTTGGGAACTGCTTTGTTGCGGTTCGATGGATCCTATTTCAGAAACTCTGCTAATGGAATTCTATTTTTTTCACATGGTTATATATTACTAAAATTAACTGGGGGAGTGGCAAGGGGTATTGCATGGAAACAATGAAATTATTTAATTTTGAAAGTATGTTTACTTTTTAAAATATTTCATTCATTTCTAATACACACATAGATGATTGTGAAAGCACTCGAAGACATAAACAATTAGGGATTAATTTGTTATGCAAACATTATGCAACATCCTTGTGTACAGGATTGGCTAAGCTAATTCATACATGAATAAAGAAGGCTTGAATCGCTCTCATATACAGTGAACTGGAACCAATCAACTGCTAGGTGGCAAGTAATCTTGCATTCCATTTACATCCTAATTTTATTTTAAAAAAATATGGCATTTGGAAAAGGCAAATTATCTACCCAAGTAAGTTTCAACTGAATGTCACCAAGCAAACATGGAAAAGTTGAACTGACAATTCCAGATTCTCTAGGCTACCGGGGCCCTGGACAGAAAGTCCACAATAAACATTTATCCTCTTTTATCTTACTAAGTCTGAGCTACCTAATATAAATCTGTAGCAATGCTACACTTGTATTGCTGCCATGACAACTAAGTGAAGGTATCTGTGAAGTCACCAGGAGTCAAGCACTATTTGAAGGAAAACTTTCCCCTGTAGAAGCCAAATAGCAGAAGCGGGAGGGGGAAGAAAGTGGAAGTGAAGGATCATTTATTTTATTCCTATGTGGTTCCAAAGATGCAAAGACTGTCTGACTCAACGGATATGATTTTTACCTGTGCTAAGAAATTGGAATTCTATCATTTACCTGGGAATAAGCGTCCTTTATCATATAAATAGCAATTTATCCATTTTACAGAAAAATGTGCTTTCATAAATGGCTTTGCATTAGCCCAGAGAGTGAATTTCTGGGGATGGAGAGTAGATAGAAGTTGTTGTATCAGATTTGTGTAGTGAATTTATTCATTTTCTGGGAGTAGACACCAATGTAGGTGTCCATTCCCATAAAGTCACAGAACCCAGAAGCCAGGAAACCTAAAATCTTTTCTTCAATGAGAAATCATTGTGGTTTCTAAACTCCAGCATTTTCAGCTGAAAACAAACTTCCAAGTGACCTTTTTTAGCGAAGACTAAAGACAGACTCCTAACTCTATATTGCTAGCTCAATTCTGCGCCACTGGGACCCCCATTCCATATTAAATATTGGAGATCTCCAAGACAAGGAAAAATACAGTTAGCCCTAGGTAGTTTGGTTTTCATTCATCTATCATAGAGTTGGAAGTTAGGGTATCAAGTCCACTTGGATCAATGTAGAATGTTTCAGAAGAAACATCTATGCATATTTTGGACTGGAAATCTGAATTAAAAACAAACATATCAACCACTATTGGAAAGCAGTGCTATTAGTTAAATTTCAATTTAATAAATTCAGATTCTAAGTCTAAGCAATGAACTTCCAACTGCCCTTGAAAGATGGGATATATGATCCGAGGAAGGAAAAAGTGCAATGTCTTGTTTTTTAAGGAAGAAGTCATTTAAAACTCAGACAAAGCTAACAGCTGCAGGAAAGCCTATTAGCTTACTAAGGTTTTTAGAGAACATAGGTCATAAGATCAAACCATGTTACATAGTTCAGCAATTCCGTATTGCCTAATGATTTGCTAGAAGCAAAAGCAAGTAGGAAAAGCAAACAAGCAGTCCAGGAAATGTTTAAGAGGGAAAGATTGGGTAGGGTGGAGGGAAAGTGGTGAAAAAGAATAAGGCCCAACTTTTATTTGAATTGGAAACTGAAATTGTGAAAACATGCTGTGGGTATTCTCTCCCAACCGGTTTCCTTGCCAGAAAATCTCTTTTGGGTGGCTGTTATTCTTAATACACCCCACAGATGGATCAGCTGAAATCTTGGTTCAGAACAAGCAGTTTGATTTGATGCCTTTTTTTTTGCTAGTCAGCGTGGTATCTCTATAACACAGCCTTTTCACAGTTTAGCATATAAAACATTTTGGGCTTTTAATATTCTCTGAAAATATTTAATATTTTCTGGAAATGTTTGAACTACTGCAAAATAATGTTTTCACGGGGCATTAGAAATGAAGCATCAATACCGTATGTTGAACACAGCATGACTAATGCAGTAACTTTCAACTTCAGCAAGTTTATGATGTGTACACTTCCAACTCCCAGAATTAATATGTCTGCACATCATAAACTTACTGAAGTTAAGAAACACTGGGCTAAAGGTATGGGAAAATTTTAGGAACTGTGTAGTACAGTTTTCATAAAGAAAATTTAATGGGCAAATCCCAACTGCAGCCCTCAGATTTCCCCATATTTGGGTCTCCTGGGAAGGGGATTTTAAGTGACAAAATAGATACCTTGTTCCTGTGCAAATTTTAAACCACTTGTTTTACTTACTGAAGCATTAAAAGTCCCCAAATCATGGACTTCTGCTAAGTCATAAGATTAACATCCCATTTTCTATAGTCTCCCAGACAGGTCAGGAAGTACCCTCCCACCTCCGCCCACCCCCCTAGCTAAGATTCAGGCGAGTCAGAATGTGTGTGTGTGTGTTAAAAAAAAGTCAAAATGGCAACCACAACTGTATAGCTGGAACTCTTTTTACATGGATCATATGTGAAATTGTTGTAACAAGGGCAGGGCCCTAATCAGTCATGGCCTCCATATTGACTGTACCACTGCTTTCAGTAGCAGGATAAAAGCAACTTGGATCAAGGAAACAAATAGTATGAATATTAGGTTTTCGGGTAAATGCCATCTACTAAGATTCACAAGATTGGCATGAATGAAGTATGTATTTTTATGACAGCAGATCTCAAATAATTCAGACTTTCGGAATCCTCCTTCTTACTAAGCTGGCTAATGAAGAACCCCTACTTTTCAACATGAAACTCTTGGCTGCTGGGGGTGGGGAATTATCTTCAAGTGCCACAAAAGACACAGTGATTAAAGCTAAAATAGAGTTCAAATCTCTGTCCAGCTGATTTCTTTGTACAGGTATAAGGACAAAGAATAACTTTGTTGTTCGCTTCAGGAAGCCAGCAGAATAATTTCCAGATTAGTTTTATTGGAAAAACTCCATTTCATGCTAACTTCCCTGGTATTATTAATTTTCTCTTCAAGGAACATTTCCTAAACTCTTGGAGAACCCCAAAAATTACAGAAAACACTTCAGGTTCCTCAGTAAAAGCTTAAATACACATATTATAGGTAGAAATTCTTATGCAATAACGTATCACCCATTTAAACACAAAAACTATAGAAGCACACAAATGGTTTATCAACTTCTTTTTAATTCAAAGATTGCCCTAAATACGGCAATGTCTCCTATCAACTTTTGTAAACATACATTAGACTTGAAAACAAACACTATATCTTCTCTTTCAGTAGAAGCTGCAAAAGTAATTCTTCCATCACTCCTGATGGAAGACCGTGATTTGTTTCTTAACGAAGCTGAATCATGTTATAGCATTGTAGCTCATTTCCCCACCAGTTTTAATGGGGAGGCAGAGATTGATGGCTTTTTATTCTTGAACCATGCAATGTAAACTTTTTAATTAATAATGTATCCTTCAAATCGTGAAAGCACTGACCTACAATTATAAAAACCAAGAGTATTACATTCACAAAAGGGAATTTTGAGAAATCTACTGGGTCACCTGTAAATAGTTGAGGCACCCAAAACCTCTGTAAAAGGAATAACTAAACATATTTCAATTAAAAAGAAGAGCTTATGCCAGTCAGCGTATTTGTTAAATATTACAAATAAAAGTTTCCCAGGCTGACCCAAAGGAATCCAGGTGGCAACTGGAAGGGCTCTGAAGAACCAAGGAAGCCAAGAAGCAACTCCTGGAGTAAAACGCAGACCTGGGTGGGATCACAACACAGTGTACTGTGAAAACTTTAAAGTGCAGGACCCAGTCACTTGACTTAAAATAACATGGGCTTGTTGCTTTGTAACATATGCCTGTAAATGATTTTGCTTTGCTTTGGGTTAATTCCTTGTTGATTATTCCAGATTAATGCCGTGGTTATTTATTAATTTGAAAGGAGGTAGATTTTACTGGAACGGATAGTTATCCAAGGCACACTTGATCCATAGCCGACTGTATTCTGCAAGAGGAAACAATGGTAAATTATTAAAATCTTCATAGCATTAATGTTTTATATTTATACATCAAAATTTTATAAAGTACCAACCACTAAACCATATTTTCACAGAGCACCAATAAAAATGTCTATATGTGGAAGTTACCAGGGCCAGCAGTAGACAAGGGCTGACAACAATGGACCATATGTGCCTTCCTTTCTTGAAATCCCACTGAGATTATATTACAGAAATTTACAAACAGTTTTTTTTTTAATTAAAATCACATAAAGAGGAGGAAAATTCCATCCAAGAATGTCACTGCTACAGTATATCCTTTATGGCTTTCAGGCCTTCTTTTTTTTTAAAATTGGCTTTTGCTTTCAGCAGATCAATAAGATAAAATACACATGTGCTTTTTTACCTGTCAACAGGATACCCTATTTCACAAACATTGACCAAGGCGTACAACTGTCTCAGAGCATATTCATACTGAAAATGAACAAAAACAAAAGAAATTACTTTTTATAACTCAATTTGTAGGTTTAATCTTTTCCTAGATTTTATTAATCCTATTCCTTTTCAATGGATTTATCTATTTTCTTAAGTTGCTCAGTTTCTGAAAACTCACAGCAAACCAACATAAAAACAGTAAAACCAAAACTATTACTATTTAACTGAAGTACCACCCCTTAAAAAAGAATAATACTCATCTTCAAATGCTCTTCTCAAGAACTATGTTGTTATAGCTCTTCAGAAGCATAAGGAATGGATGTCCAAATAATGGGATTCACCATTCCAACCACTGAAAAAACTCTGCAGATGGCATTTCCTCATAATGGAAACCCTAACAAGCCTTCTTTCTCTGATTGCCTTAGGTGGGCAGATTCAACCTAAGGAGTTGGTCCCACTGATATAGGCCTGAGCCATGTGAAGCTTTCAAAGTGACAACTAGCATTTTCACTAGTACCAAGAAGCTAGCTGGCAACCAATACACCTCCCTTAGTAGTGTTTTATACAAAGATTTTTTAAAAAATTTATTTGGTGCACCTGTAACAAATGAGTCCTCTCCTGCTGAATCATGTGACACTTTTGAATGACCTTAAAGGTCAGCTCTTCTACAGCAAATTGCAACAGTTCAGATCTGAAGTGACAAAGCCATATGGTTGACTTTTTTGTGGGTGTAGTTGGATCCAGTGGAGGATCTTTTCTATCATGAAGTAAGCACACACCATACCGAACATTTTTTTTCCATAATGGATGATTTTAGTAATTTTTTCCTTCTGATGAACAAAGTTGTACTTCACAGCAAATAAAAAATGTATGCTAAGAAGTTTTATCAAACCAGGAATGAGGAATCCTGATCTTTCGGGCTTGAAGAGGCTCTAACTTCCAGCAGCCCCAACCAACTTGGCCAACAGTTAAGGGTGCAAGAAGCTGAGGCTCAGAAACACGATGCCCAACATATCTTAGAACCTTGACACAAGCCTTTGACAATTCCAGATAACTATTAAAATTGTAAGATTTACTTCTTGCTCAAGTGGAAAAACAAAAGTGCAAACATTCACAATCCTGGTCAACCAAATAACCAAACTGAACTTTTCCTTCCTATACAAATAGAACAGACCAGTTTTTCAATTTTACAGTCCAAATAAGACCAGTCACAATCCCTAGAACTTACCCCAACAGTTTGAGTTAACTTACCAAAGGATTGTGCCAGTTAAAGCAATGTTTTTTAAAGTGATCCATTGCTGACTCATAACAGTCATAATTTCTGAGGCTCAGTCTAGATGACAAGATTTTATTTGCATGCTCTTTAGAGCGTGTTATTAAAAACATGATCTTGTGCATTGACTCCTGAATCAGCTGTCTGGCCTAAAAGAGAAAAAAATACAGGAGAAATTGATGTTTTTAGGATCTTGGAAATATAACAAGAATTCCTCAAAAACACTGGAGGAAAAAATGCTGGAACAACTTTCATTTTCTTTCAGGATAAAGTAAAACAAGAGCAGGCTTTTAGCAACCACCAGTGGGATTAGCACTCAGCGACTGCTAAGTGAAACATCACAATTTTCTGATTTTATTTCAAAATTTCATTTCATAATTGCCAGGACTGGATGCAAACTTATTTTTTTCATCACTGTGTAACTGCGAACAATTGCTGCATAAGACAGTCACGAAATGAGAATGTATTCACTTGCACATAAATATTTCCCCTACTACTACTTGCCTACAATAATCGTAATAGCTTTTCAATGTCAATTTTTACATTTATAACACTTAAGTTCTTAATATTATCTTCCTCCTTATTCCGACTAATGTTTTGTGCATTTTTTAAACTTTTTGGAATTTCCCAATTCTGCAAACCTTGCAAAATAGAGGTTATAATTATGCAGATAGTTGCAAATATTTTGGTCATAAATCCATAGTTATGATGCAACAATATATAATTCAGTCATTCCTGGAAGAAGTAATTCATTCTTTGAGTAGAATCATCAAGTTAATGGAATTTAATATACTTAAAATATACTAAGATTTAGGTCTCAACATTTTCAATGTTTTCCTTTAAACCAGGTTAAATCTGAACCCAATACATTTTTGAAAAGGATATTTCAAGTCTGATTATCAGCTGACATGAAGTTTCATTGTCAACTCAGCTGAAATGAACAAGACTATTTGCACTATTACTATTAGCTCACTGGTTGTTTACTCTCCTTATTCTTAAGAACATCCTTGTCAAACTCCATACAACAATACATCCAACTTTAATGCTTCTGGTCCCAGACTTTAAAGCTCTAAATAACAAAAAGTATAATGATATCACAATAAGACAAAACCATGTGGAGTTTAGCAATTGCTACATAGGGAGGACTATGGCAAACTAGCTAGCTGATCTTCTACTATCCCTGGTTAGTAAGATGAACTTTAAGTCAACAGTTCTCCCTTGCCTAATTCAGAGTAGAGAGAGAAAGAGAGTACAGTTCTACAAAATAGATGGTTCCTGCCTCAACTCCTCTTCCTCTGAATTCTTGCAAACTCATGCTTGGGTCATCAGTGGTAGTATCTAGCCAACTTGTGTGCTGACAGCATATTTTTATTGCTTTTGATTTTTCCAGGCCTCAGGGTTTTGTCCAATAATTTCTTTTTTTTCTACAGTAAAGACTTGGCTGTGGTCCTGAGCCACAAGTGTGTTAAGGGCCCTCTATTCTGGATGTATCCATAACTACAGTTTTACATGGTGTCATATATATTTTATTGTAATTGTTTAACCTTTGTTTTATGTTTTACGTTACACCTTGTTCAGATGGGTCGTTATACTAGTCAATTACTAGTACTGTATTATCAGCTGGTTTTTTTCCTAACACCATTATTCAAAGGTATCATTTCCCCCCTCAAATAAAACAATGAAGCAGCATTTTCTAAATATGGAAATATATTTAATAGCACATTTTTAATCCCTTTGGGCAATTAGTAGTATGAATTAAACATCATGTTAAATCATGATATAGTTTATTTAGTTAATTCATTCCCGTACAGATTGAGGTTTACTAATAAATAAGGATTAAGCATGGTTTAATATAAAGGTGGGCAATTTTTTTGCTACTTGGGAGCCACATTTTATATATGGGGAGTTGTGGGGGCAGAGTAGATGGAAGCCAAGATGCAAAGTAGTGTGTCACAGCTCTAAGCAGGATATTCTTTTGCCTTTTTAAGGCAAGGTATCCTTTTGTAAAGCTAGCATTATAAATATTATGTTTCCACTGGTGAGAAAGCCATGCTGCTATTTTTTTTTAACCACTGTCAATGAAAGGGTCTCCAGAGACTTGGTATGAACCCCCGTGGCTTCAGCTTGCTCAGTCTTAGCTTAGCCCAATGTGTGAATGGAGCATTTCTGTTTGAACAGAGATGCTTTTCACAGAAACACAAGACAGTCCCTTTCTAACTGAAGCCCATGTTGCATTTCCTCCTCACTCTTACCTCCAGATGTGTCTTCATCTCTTTTACAATTGCCTTTGCTTCATAGATATCATTGGTGGCCAACAGTTTTCGCTTCATAATTGCAAGGGGCACATCAGGGCTAGGTGTGAGGTCATAGTGATCGACCGGTGGCAATGAAATGGGGGTGCTGGAATTCTTTTTTGAGCCCTGGAACTGCATTACTTTCATATGAGAGATAGACTGCAAGTGGAAAAATAAAAAGACAATCACTTAAAAAAATGGAAGCACATTTATGGGACTCTTCTATAAAATTATTTATCAGGGAGGCTCACTGAGCTTGCAGATCCAAGGATCACATTGTAAATCATGGTCCCTATTGGTCGACCTGGCACAGAAAATATAAGCAAAGGATAGTTGGATGCCACTGCAGATGGGATTACTGAAAGTTGTAGTTCAGCAAAATTGTGAGCTTCCGTTATTCTCTGTTCCCTATGCTAAACAACTCCCAGCATCATCCAAATTCTAGAACTGGGAAGATGCCAGAGTCTGCCCCATATATGAACTTAACTTTGGAAAACTTATGTTCGGGAAGATAGTTAGCCATTCTTTATCCTGGCAGAGGTCCGGGCCATGTCTACTGTGGTGAGCTAATCTATTGAAACTAACTTTCAAAAGAAAAAAAAGAGGGAGGGGGATTGATTAGAAACTATAAAACAAGAAAGGTAAAGGATTCTCCATCCCTCTCCCTCTTTTTTTTCTTTTTTCTTTCCATCTTTCAAAACTCAAAGGCCTAGCAGTTTAGAAGTTCCATTCTTTATATGGAGCTGTAAATAAGAATACTCAATCATGCAACTTCTGTGGGTTGGTTTTTTTCCCTTTTCTAATGTAGCTTTTAAAATGAACTTTTCAAAAAAAGTGGATGTCTATAGAGAGTCTCAGCCATCCAGGTCATGGTTGTCCCAAGTGGAAATGGGACTTTCTTGGTTTTTCCTTTGAAAATGTTTCTCATTCAAGAAGCTTCTTGAGCTTCTGGGTAAAAGGCTACTTTCACAGAAACCTGTCTCAACACTTCCATACTATTAATTACTCACAATATTTCCATACTGCATCACATGACTGGTATTGGTGTGGTTCCTTACTAACACAAACTGCCTGTGGAGGGTTTCTTTTTTCAAATCTTCCTGCAAGATGAAAAAGAAACAATGCAATTAAGGCGTTTATGAACAAATATTCAAAGACAGTTTCTCTCCAAAGTTTTGGTTCTCAGTTAGCATCTTTATAATATAATCTTTAAAAAAATGCTAAAAAACTTTCCAAGTGACAAATTACACAACAGAAGTTTAAGCTCAAAAGGAATTTCCACAAAACTAATCACAGATCTTTTTTTCTTTTACATTGAAAACAATTATGAGGAATATGCAAGGACCGGTGATTAATATTCAGAGAAATGAAAGAATATGCCTTTTTAGACATTTTTGCAATATATTTTACTAATGGTATTATATTGAAGTGAAGTTATTTCTCTCCCCCCCCCTCCTTTCTCTCCCCTCAGACTTCCAAAAACCACAATAAAAGAGCTAAAAACAATAGTGTGCTTGATGACCAATGCAAAATTTGCAGAATTCTTGCCATAGGACAACAATGGGTGCCTATATAATTAAGATTATATAGATTAGTAGATTAAATAGATTATAAGATTATATATTTACTGTGTAAACAGGGTAAACCGCCCCCCCAAAAAATTGCCCAGGAATGAAAATCATAAATATAAAGCTCACAAGGAAAAAAATAGATGCCTTTTAGAAATTCCTAACAGAATCAAACCATGTGATCTGGTTCCAAAATGGCTAGAGCTGGCTCTGGATGACATTATTGGCCTTAGTTTCAGCCTGAAATAGGTGGGTGGCTGAGGACATGGACCAGACTGCTCCTATCTCTCCTAGGAACTCTGGGAGATGAAGCACCAGAAGGGAAAGACAAAGGCTGAACATAAGTAACAGTCCATATTCAGGCCTACATCATGGCAATAAATGTGGCAAAACACCATTATCTCTCTGTATTTGTTACGTCTGCATGACCCGTTTAGTGAGGAAGGTCAGAATCCAGGAGCCACCTATAGGGTTGTAGAGCCTTTCTTGCTATTTGGTGGATAAAGTAATTTGGATTCACTCAGAGATGGACTCTGACTGGTCGGGTCCAATGAGCTGCCTGGGATAGTCTTGTGATGTTAGGTAAACTGAATTTGACTTGTCATTCCTGATTAAATGGGCAATCCTGTAAATCCTCCTGTATCATTAAGGTTTTGGTTGCAACACAGGTCACTAACCAGTGCAACCATCATGCCCTCTTGATGCTATACAATCTGAATCCAACTGATTCAGAATATAAGTAGCCCACTGTCTCCAGAGCTCTTTGCAGCTGCAACCCAACCACCTTCTCAACAAGAAGACTAAACAAAAATTGTCCAGGATGGTTATCTGGATCAATGGCCTTTTTGAAGATGCGGCATACAAATGTTTCTTTCAAGGCTAACAGTATAAGCCTCTCCCTCCTCCAAGAAGGCTGACACCCCTGCATAGACCCAACCTCATGTCAGGTGATTGGCCTAACAGCCTAAAGGATCCTGTCCACTTCCGGAGGAGAAGTTTCTGAGAATCCAATTATTCCCAGATAATCAACCATGCCTTTATCATTATTATTAATGGGACCAGCCAAGTCAAGGTCCATTTGTGAGCAACTCCGAGTGACATGACCGTCCCCTGATGCCAATACTTTTCACAAGGGCATCCCAAATGATTCTCTCCAGATAGGAATAAATCATTTGGAATGGGGCCACTAGCTGACTATTGGCAGATGCAATAAAAGCAAAGAAATATCTATGTTTCATCTTGCCACAGTGTAAATCCCTAATATGGGTCCTTGCACAAGCAAATACCAGATCTTGGCAACTTACCACATCAGAATCTTCCATCCATTTGACACTGTACAAATCCCCCAGGTACGTTTGCCTTTTTTCATCAAAGTAACATGCATATGAAGATTCCTCAGGGTTAGACGCTGTTGTGGCATAAACTGTGAAGAAAATGGTTAGGCCCTATTGACTTGCTGAGGTCAGAAGTCAGATATACTTGTACAACCTGACCAATGGTGCTATCTGACGCACTTGGATTTTAAAGTAACTTGCTCCAATAACAATCCATACTCTTAAAAATCTTTTCATTTTAAATCAAATGAAATAAACTAAAAGGACAAAATGAACAAGGTAATCAATCAGTAATGAAACCTCTAAGATATGTTGGCAATTTCAGCATGGCACAGGAGAAATTGTCCCAACTTGAATGGTATCTGAGATCTTCATATGCATTTTCAATTTTAATTAGAGCTCTCAATTGATCACAAATGTTATTAATATATTTAGAATCTACAAAAATCTATGAAAGGGACTAGGTGGTCCCACCTCCTAAATGCCAATGAGTGTGTTGGCATTAATTTGAGAACTTATAAGTACATCTTTACATTTCAAATCTTTGAAGAATGTACTGATAATGACTTATTTTTGGCCAACGACAAAGCCAAGAAGGTCTTCATTCTGGCAGTTTAAAGTTTGATCTAGAAGACTGAAGAATAAAGCCTCTTTTCATACACATCAATAATGCAAATAGTTCTTTCAGACCACAAGCAATTTGTGTTGGCTTGTACATTCTTAATGGTTCTTCAACAGTTTCAAATCAGTGGTTCTGAACACTTGAAACAGATATTGTCTATCAACCACAGTTGGTATTGGCAACTCAGTGGTTAAGCAAAGTGGTCAACTAAGTGAAACCACAATTGCGTTTATGATCTTGCTTCATCTTTTCTTTGCTTTATAGGCCTGCAAAGAGAGTAAATGTGAGGATTGGCCACAAGGTTACTTTTTCATATGATTTTTTACTTTTATTCACAATATACAATATACAATATACAATTCACAATACAATATACTATTACTATTAGATGCTCCCCAAAATGTAAAGTTTTAATGCTAGAAGAAAACCTGCACTGTTTTATTCGCAGATTGAAAAAAATAAATACAGAATAAACAAAACGTCAGTCAGTAGCAACCTTAGCCAAGGTTCTCTATTATTAAACCACAATTAACTAGTAGTTCAATTATACTGTCAACACATATTCTATCCGCTGAAATGAACTACAATGGAAACTCAGTTTAACAATCATCATTTTACTGGATATAGCCAATCAAATCTTCACTCTTCGAGAACAGTCAAGTTCATTGTTTTTAGTCTGTCTGGATAAATGTCACCTCACGTCTCAACTACTGCAAACTGTTGTACAAGGGTATGCCCTTGAAGACCACACAGAGGCTTCAATTAGTCCAAAATGTCTATGTGACCCCTCTGCTCCATGGCTGTGTTAAATTGGCAGATTGCAACTGTGTGCAATTCAAGCTGTGTTATCATCTATAAAGTCTACATGACATACATCTTGGCAACTTACCACATGGATATTTGTGGGGCTGCCTGTCTCCCATGGGCCTGGATATTTGTGGGGCTGCCTATCTCCCATGGTTTCTGCCTATCTGGTACAATCCAATCTAGTGGACATGCTCCAGGCTACTCAATTAAAGAGTGTCATCTTTCGAGACCCAGGAAACATGTGCCTTTTCTGTAATGCTATCTCCCCTTTGGAACGAGGTCCCACCTGAGATCCGTATAGCATTCCAGAAGGACTTGAATACCTGGTTGATCCCCCAGACTTTGGGGTAGGCTGGATGAGACTTCCCTCTTTGTGATTTGTTTGTTTGTTGCTGGATTGCCATCTTGTCCTTGCTTTGAATATTTTTGTATTCTGTGCTATTGATTTTAGTGAGCCTCCCAAAATCAATTGCAGTGAGGTAGCACCCAAATTGCATCAACAAATAAATGAACATAAACTATGTGAAAGTGTCAATTATGTGACTTTGCAAATTACTATAATTTCACAAATTAATGTATGTGATATAAATTTGGATTAATAAGGATTTTTCCTTCAAATGTTCCTTTAAGCTGAATTTTTATTAGTGTTACTTATTGGTTTCCAGATAAAAATATTGACTGATCACTTACCATTAATATCATCAGGTAAATTTTCCATCATTGATCCAGACTCACATGCTTCAATGTAAAAAACCATCTGTAATTTATAGAAAACTCCATTAGAAACATTTTAGCAGTTGTTGGTTCATTATATTCACTTTTTCTCTCCAGTATATTGCCTTTTTAAAAAAATTAATTTATTCAACATTTATAAAATTAAAAACATATAATTAAATTTTACAGCATTGTTTAAGGCAGTAGATACACTTGTACTTCTGATAGCATGTTATACATTGTTATAATAACTCCATCATTTTACACTCTATATATGCATACATATAGTTTATTTACATTTATTTACACCTCACCCTTATTTTTCCAAAATGTTACCAGGTAACATTTTTTAGATATCATCTTTTCTTTATCCAGTCATACCAGATATCTCATGTTTTGTAATATTTACTGTGTTGGTTATCTTTTAACAACTTACTTAGTCTATCCATGTCGGCACACTTTATTATCATATTTTCTGAAGGGGTCATAGCCAATTTCCAATTTTGAGCAAAACTTATTCTAGCTGCCTTATAATATGAAGAATTAAATATTGGTGCTTCCTCTTCATATTTGGTTCTAACATGCCTAATAAAAAAAATTCCGGTTTGAATTTTACTCTCTATTTTGCTATTTCCTTTATCCATATTCTATTTTTTTTGCCAATATTTTCATACATGGGGGCATGTCCACTACATATGGAAATATGCTCCCTGATTATAATTACATTTCCAACACTTGGGTGTCATGTTATGGAACATTTTGGCTAATCTCGCTGGTGGTAAGTGCCAGCGATGAAACATTTTATATAAGTTCTCTTTGTAAGAGACCGACATTGTTAGTTTAAAGTTTGTTTGCCAAATATGTTCCCACTGGTCTAAACTGATAGTATGGCCCAGATTTTTAGTCCAAATTACCACGCATTCTTTGACAATTTCCTCCTTCATTTTATAATCTAATAGATAGTTGTAAGTTTTACTGAACTTTTTTCTTCTTCTTTTTTTATTCATAATGAAAGACCCAAAAGAAACAAGCACTATACTAATGAATGAAAAAGAAGAATTTGGAAAGGTGGCGGGGCTGAAAATTAATAGAGAAAAAACCAAATTAATAGAGAAAAACTGCACAAAAAAACAAAATGAAGAATTTGCAAACAAATTAGGTATGCAGGCAATAAATAAAGTAAGATATCTCGGGATATGGCTGACAGCTAAGTGTTCCTCAATCAAAAAGGATAGTTATGATAAATTCATAATCCAAATATTAAAAGATTAAGATAACTGAGCCAGGATACAATTGTCCTTGTTAGGGCAGATTGCAATAATAAAAATGAATATCTTACCAAAGTTGCTATTCCTGTTCCAGACAGTGCCAGTCAAGTTGGGGAAAAAATTCTTTGAAGATTTAAACTTGCCATACCCTCAAACTAACCTCTATTGACTTCACCCCATTCCTAAGAGGTCTGTAAGGCCCGTGCATAAGCACACAATCGTGCCTACTGTCCCTGTCCTATTGTCCCCAATTATTAGTTCCTATTTCTTATATTTAAACTTATGTTTATTCTTATTTCTATTGTATTGTAAGCTTTTGACAAAATAAATAAATAAATAAAATATTTTATCTAACTCTTGCTGGGTTGTGTAAAAGCCAAATTGTTCTTTATCCTTATTATAATATGTTTGTACTTGCAGATAAGGCCACCATCCTATCTCAATTCCCTGAAGTGGTAATTGGTTCCTAGTTTTTAATTCCCCTTTTTCGTTTAGCAAATCTCTATAGTTTATCTTTTTGGTACAATCCAGAACATTGGGATGTATTACTGCTTCTATTGTTGATAACCTTCATGGCACCTTTACATAATGTTCCTTTTTATTTTTTTCCATGTGTTTAGCAAGGCATCTCTCATCCAAAGTCTTTGAAAATACGAGTGATATTTACGCTTCCCATCCCAGATAAATGCATGCCAGCCAAGTTGTAGGTCAAAGCCCTCTAACCTTAATATCCTTCTATTTGTCAAATTGATCCAATCTTTCAGCCATGAGGCTATTTCCGCTTGATAATATAATTCAAACTCTGGGAGACCTCCTTTCTTTCTAGTATCTTGTAATAATTTGTATTTTATCCTGGCTTTTCTCTTCTGCCAAATAAATTTTGAAATTTGTTTGTTTAAATCTTCAAATAATTTTTTCCCCAACTTGACTGGTACCGTCTGGAACAGGAATAGCAACTTTGGTAAGACATTCATTTTTATTATTGCAATCTGCCCTAACAAGGACAGTTGTATCCTGGCTCAGTTATCTAAATCTTTTAATATTTGGGTTATGAATTTATCATAATTATCCTTTTTGATTGAGGAACATTTAGCTGTCAGCCATATCCCGAGATATCTTACTTTATTTACTACCTGTATACCTAATTTGTTTGCAAATTCTTCATTCTGTTTGTGCAGTTTTTTGTTATTATTTGGTTTTTTCTCTATTAATTTTCAGCCCCGACACCTTTTCAAATTCTTCTATTTCATTCATTAGTATAGTGCTTGTTTCTTTTGGGTCTTCCATTATGAATACCATATCATCAGCAAAGGCTTGGAGTTTATACTCTTCTTTTTTAATATTTAATCCTTTGATATCTCGGTTCTGTCGTATTTTATCCTGGGTCTTCTGAATAATACCTCTTCTGCTAATATGTATAACAATGGGGCCGGGGGACATCCTTGCCTCACTCCCTTACTTATCTCTAAGCTATCCGTAATTTCTCCATTCATTATTATTTTTGCTGTTTGTGTCTTATAGATTATTTGGATAAGTCCCAGAAAGTTTTCACCAAATTTCATGCTGATCAGCGGTATATTGCCTTTTAAACCAGCCGTGTCCGATCTGGAATCCTCAAGATATATTGAGATTGTAATTCTTAGTCAGCACTCCCAGTGATTGGGAATCCTGGCTAGGGACTGTAGGAGTTATAGTTCTCACATATTGTTGGCAAAGACAAATTTTGTAAAAAACTGACAGAAAGGCAGTTGAAACTCTTTCCAGTCTGTTAGCAGGAAAACACGGTACATTTAAACACAATTATTTTTTAAATGCTCGATTTCAAATTGGATGATTTATTATACAAGTTTCTAAGACATTGGAAAGGGAATATAATTGAACACATCAACAAAGTCCTTCTTAGGGCTTTCTGGATTAATAGAAGAAAAAAAGGTTCTTTTTTATCTTTTTCTCTGGAAATGAACATTCACATCAAACAGAGAATAATATAAGCATCTGTGTTTCAAAACATATATTCAAAACAGATGACAGCTTAGCTATGTAGCACTTTATATTCTATTGTATTTTTTTAAAGTGAATTGTAATGATAAAATGTTTGTAGTTTAGACTTGACCTATGGGGTCCTTTGTGCTCCCTGAGCTTGGTAGTTTCTTACAGATGTTTCATAGGTAACACCATCAATGCTAAAAAGGTGTAGAGCCTGCTCTTATTTTATTTATATCTTATATCCCAAATTAATTCTTACTTGTCATTAATCATACCAGAGCAGCAAAATATGGACAAAAAGAAGCCTTCATAGAACTGAGCCCAGATTTAATATCCATTTCATTTTCCTTCCATTTTCCTCATAATCTTGTGAACAAGGCCACATTCCAAACAGTTTATTAGTGTAAAATTTATTGTATCATAGCATAGAACTAAAGACTGCATGATTCCCAGGCACTTCAAAATCAACATGTTCATGCAACCAATCGCAATGAATAACAAAGCTTGTAGGTTTACTGCTATAGTATAATTCTTCATACTTGGTAACATAAACTTTTAACTTTCTATAATGTCATCATTTCCATTAAACTATTGTAAAAATTACAGATCAAGCTACAAAGAAAACTCTACTATTTTTATATCAGGAAGGTAAGAATTTTACCTTTTGGTATTTTTTATGATGGTACATATACCTAATTGTCTTGTTCAGGTGTTGTACCTTGAGCTGGAAAATAAATTGTTCACAATTAGCTTTTGGGCAGATTAAATTAGAAACTTACAGTGCATATTCCTCTCCCAAAATTATATGAAACCGTTACAATTTGAGATTTATGCTGGTATAAGTATCCATGAATATGAAATTAAAGAGAAGGGAGATTTTTGAGTTTAGTCCCTATTTTGAGAAAATCAAGTTGTTGGGAGTAAAATAAATCTCATAATTTATCTAACCTCAATATATCCTCAAATTAGAGAAAGATATAAATTTAGAAATCAAAGCAATGATTATTTACATTCTATTTTTATAGTCAATCATATATGCATGTGTGTGCACGTGTGTGCATGCACGCACACACACACACACACACACACACACACACACACACACAACCCCTTGGAAAATTCATTACAATTATCAACCAATATACATGCTTCTTTCATACTATTATTCATACATACACATAGACCTCCCCCCAACATTCAGAAATGATTTCCGCAAGGATCGCGTGTCAAATTCAGGAACTAATATTCTGTTTCCTTTTCATAAAATACCAAAGAAATAAACACCCAGGATCTTTCTTTCCCCTCTCCCTTTTTGATTTCCTTGCAGACACATAGGCAGACATTTTGTGTGGAAAAACATACATCATCATCTGGAAAAGCCAGAATTCCAGGACCGCCATGATCCGTGAAGTAAACGAATACATGATCCTTGGGGCCACTGTAAAATTAAAAAAAAACTCATCACTTATTTATGTTTAGAGTCTGGTAAAGTTACATTAGCAATAAAGTCATCTTTTGAGAACCTAATCTTTCCTTTTTCCTATTACCTTTGTAATACTTTTCCTGACCCTTTGTTCTTTACTGCTTCAGCATCACCCCTCAGCACGGCAAGGAAGTTATCTGGTGTTACATCCTACAGATCGGTACAAATTGAAAACCGAAATGAGCTCTTTGTTTTGTATCTGTAGCAAGCAACCCACAACCAGCATATCTATTAATTTATATCCTGCCTTTATTATTATATATAATACAATAACACTTTCATTATACGTAAGTAATAGCAATGTTTCTCCACCAGAGGGATAAATACAGTATAGGATGCAACTCTCATCATTGAAAAAAAGCCTGTTGGAGAGAATGATGAGAGCAGAGAAAATACATGCTAATTGACTGGTCTGAGGTAACAAAACTAGGTATGGAGTCCAGGATTAAAAGTCCAGGAGCGTAAAAGCTAAAATGAAATAGCATTTTCAATTGTTTGTACTCTCTTATTATTTGGATATACAGTATTTTTTTATTTGGATTTAATTACTGCTTTCATAGCAACAAGCACTGTTTCATCTGCATTAGCTTTTCTGTTCCATATCATCATGCAAGGAAATCAGACACTTACATCATTTGTGTAGTCCTTTAATACTCCTTTGTATACATCTGTGCCATTTGGTCGATTAATAATAATGCCTTTGGTTGGATTGCTGGAAATGGAAAAAAGGGTGAATATTATAGACATACATAAAATATCAGTCTCCAGAGATTTCACAACATGAACTTCAACTGCTATAGAAAGGAGAACCTTATAAAGCAGGTCTAATGCTAAATAAGAATTATATTCATTAGGGGGAAATCTAGTTTTTCCTTCAGGGAAGCCAATTTCCCCATCCTGATCCATTAAACTTTCTCCCTTTACTTTCCTTTTTCCTCCAATTTCATGATAATATTAGTCTACAGCTAAGGAAGGAAGGAAGGAAGGAAGGAAGGAAGGAAGGAAGGAAGGAAGGAAGGAAGGAAGGAAGGAAGGAAGGAAGGAA